TATATTGATTTTATATCCACACTGAGAAATTTTTGTGAGACTTTCATGGTCCGAATCTCTAGTGGCGACTTTGAAAAGTCTGCAGTCTCACAACAATTTTCTCATTGTCAGTGCATATATCTAAATTTCAAAGATTTTAAATGTACAAATTAATGTACATCCTGAAGTGGCCCTCTAATTATCTTTACTTAAGTTGATATTACTTATAAGACCTCGAAACAATTTTTCAAAATTGTAATTTTTTTTAAGAGTTGTAAACGGTAAAACTTTTCTGCACTGTTTTAGAAAAAATTCTTTCGAGAAATATATATGTATAATAGAAACAGTTTGTGTAATTTTTTAAAGCAAATTATACTTTAAAATTTTTAATTTTATAAATAAATAATGTTCTTAGTTATTCTTCAGAGAACACACCTCTTTTTTAGATCATTTTTCAAAGCTCAACCAATTTTGAACTGTTCATCTGATCAAACTGAAGAATTTTTTTAAATATAGTTTAAACTCTGTAAAATAAGTCTGTATACTTTAAAATCCTTATAAACAATATTAAACAATAGATAAAAAGGTTTTCGTAACATTGTTTATATATAAAATTAAGAATTGAGAATAAGTTTTTTTATCCCACATGCACAAAAATGGCGCTTTCTGATAGCAGACGACAGGGAGTAAAGTCATTCATTTCTTCGACAGTATATAAAAATGGCGGCCGTGTTCTTCCATGGGCAAGAAAATGAGCTGTTCCCATGCGTTATTCTTGCCCATGGGAGGAAACGGCCGCCATTTTCATACAAGTCGAACAAGTGAATGACTTTTACTCCCTGTCGTCTGCTATCTGAAATCGCCACTTTGTGCATTTAGAATAAAAAATATCGTAAGTAATATGGGAATAATGGCTGCCTTTATACCCTCGTTGCTTAATATACTATTATTTATATTCTGTATATATTTCTTGAAATTCCGATTCCTAATCTTACTGCAGAAACAAATCTTATTGAAATCCGCTCAGCCAATTTTAAGATATTGAAATTACTCTAAAATTGTGTAAACAGTTCTATCGTTTATAAGTTTAAAAAAATTAATATTTTGAAAAATTGTTTGAAAGTCTTAATTTATAGATATCATTTATATTCCTTACAACAAAAATAATTTATTAAGGGGCCACTTCAGGAATTCTTACACAGACTGAAAAAAATTTATTCTGAAAATATAAGAATAATGTACTCATATTAAAAGAGTGCCGCTCAAAAGGATTACAAACAGTTTTGTATCTTCATTACTGGTAAAGATTATACCTTCATCAAATAGTTATTTTAAAGCTTATATATTTGACTTAAAGTATACCTACAAAAGTTTTTCACTTTTTGGAAAATTTCAAATTGATATACACTTTTTTAAAAAATCATCACAATTTAATTTGGTAAATGGCATTTAAAAGCATATTTTATCATCTGTCAAACGATTTTTTAAAACTTGTTCAAATGATCATATTATATTTCTTAAAAATTATCGTAGAACAATTTTTAAAACATCGTTTGAAAGGTGATAATAGTTATTTTTGTATCAAGAGCGCAAAATAGGTGATTGCGACGATGGCGAAATGAAGGGACCGAGGCGAGGCCGAGGGAGCGAAAGTGTTCCCGAGGTCCCGAAATTTCGCCAGAGTCGTAATCATCTTTGCGCCCATGTTGCGAACAATATGTTTTCAAATGCCATATACAAAACTTTTTGTAATGTCTTTGCATGCCGTAGGGTGGACAAATCCTTTTGAGCGGCACTGTTTAATAAAATATAAAATAAAAATATTTATAAATATACACTTTTATGAGTACAACACACCCTAAAAAAGTAATCTTGATTTGATGCAGATTCCTCTAAACTGAATGTATATTTTCCTCTCGCATATTATTTGCCAATTATGGTTATGAACTGATAAAGAAAAGTTATTTTGATGCCCAAAATAAAACGTTTTTAATTAAGTAAATGTAATTAATGATTAATAGTTAATTACTTGCATTAATTAATGTATTTATTTGTTTATTTACTTTATTTGAATTCAATGTTTTTGACATTTGAACCTCAAAAAATTGTTTTGTTTTATTATTAGCCACCAAAGAATAAAAATATTCCACATTCAAGTGGAATACTTTTGTTTTGAGAGGATATTAGAAGAGGCTTTTTCCTCTAATTATGAGATTATTTTTTTAGAATGCATATTCTAAAACACTGGTTTACAGTGAAATTGTCAATCGAACAAAACATTTTTTTTCGAATAGTAGGTGTTTTTTGAGTAAGAAAATCATAGTTTTAAGCTTCAAATTTTGCATTTTCGAGGTGCGACGTCACTTAATGATAAATCGTCCAACATCCTTCCGGCAGGACGAAAAAGACTCAGGTGAGTCCCTCCGAAATCACTAAAGAAAACTAACATTGATTCAGATAAATAAAAAATGATATATATCATTGGAAAGGTAACGAAACAAGCTTTCAGCGCATATAAATATCGGGCTTGTAAGTTCAAAACTAAGGGCTGGGTAGTTTGAAGAAGTTACATGTTCCAAAAATTCACATAATTTTTAGTCACAGAATGACGAAGCCCGGTCCTGCCGGCAGGACGCTTTTCGCTTTATTTAAGAGGCTACCTAGCCCAGGTTTATAAATTTAAAGACTCGATATTTACATCATTTGAAAGCTTGTTTCATTACCTTTCCAACGATATATTTAGTTTTATATTTATCTGCTTCCATATTAATAATTTTATAGAGCAATTTCTAAGGGACTCGCGCCTGAGTCTATACTCAAATATACTGAAAAATATTAAAAATGAATTTTTTTTAATTAAAAAATTTGGTTTCATTCTTCGAACGTTTCTGAAGAGAAAGAGACTTGTCCGGTCAAAAAATATTGATTTTTGGGGATTTTACATTACATTTACGAAAACATGTTTTTTTCACTGTTTAGAAACATAGCAAGTTTGAAGGATTTGAAAAATGGTTTAATATTATTATTTTAAAAAATCAAAAATATGGATTTTTTCGTCTTTTCGTCTATTTTAATCCCAAGGAGTGCCAGAAAAGAAAAGTTGAATTCCCTTTTTTAAAAGCCTTTTTTTCGGAACGTCCTTCCGGCAGGACGGGCGTTTGGACGATTTATCATTAAACTTACCTGTAGGAAAATTAGCTTGTCAAAATATAATAAATGAGGTATAATTTGAAAGGTTATTAAATTACCTTTCGATCCATTGGTCACAGAATGAAATTCAACGAAAATTGAGAGAGTTACAGTCGATTAAAGATCAAATTTCATGACAATTTTCATTATTTTTAGACATTTGAGTAACTTCTACTATTTTTTTCTACATCAAACAGGCAAAAATGTTAAGATTTTAATTTTTTTATTGATAGACTATATGATTACAAAAATTTTGAGCCCTTGTGGACCTCGATTGGATTAAAAATGACAATTCTACGAAACTACTTTCTTCATTTTTAGTTAGTTTTCCAAATTTCAAAATGGCGGATCCAATATGGCGGACAAGATTTAAAAATTGGATGAAATTCGTCTTAAATTCGTTACTCGGGGGGTTTTTGGGGTCGTTGATTACGAATCCGATGTCAGATTTTAAAAATTCAAAATGACGGATCCAATAAGTGCGAATTCGATGGATTTTTAAAAAGTTGTTCACCACTATGAATCCATCATTTTCAATTTTCGACATCTGACATCTGACATCTGACCTACTATTCGAAAAAAATGTTTTATTCGATTGGCAAAAAAAAGTTTTTAATTTGTAAACCTGTGAAATAGATGCTAAGTATATATTATTATATATTCTTAAATTCAGAATAAATTTTTTCGGTTCATACAAGAATATTAATATCGGTTAATTACTCTACATATATTATTGCAAATGAACATCTAAAATTTTTTTTCAAAAATTTCTTTTTGAATTTTTGAAAAAGTGGTCAAAAAATAGAGTAGATGTTTTCGAAAAACCTTATATTTTTCGATATTCATGACTAGAATGAACCTTTAAAATTTCAGAAGAATTCGTTAAAACCTTTATGAGATAATTTAATTACAAGAATTTATTAGCACACAGGCACACACATGTTTGTAGCCAAAAATGGCTATCTACTAAATATTTATATCAGTGCTGATTGTGAGTGAAAAATGACAAGTATTTTTCACTAAACGGTATACAATAATAATTTTTATCTAGAAAGTACCTTTAAAGTTATGAAAAATTGACATTTTTACTAGATTTAATTGTAAATTACAAAGGAACTAAGGATGATGAAAGATTTTGGATTTGCATGGATTGCATATACAATAGATGCACATTAAAAATATGAAATACCTATTTACTCTGATTATTTATTGTTACCTTTGTAACTTTGAAGACGAGTGTTATTGGTGACTCAAATTCAGTGTAGAATGTAAAATTTGTAAGCAAAACAATTGAATGCTTATACGATTTAAGTGAAAAATACTTTTCTTTATACGTGCATGCAAAACCCTCGTTTGTCAACCACTGACAGCAATCCAAAATGGTCGATTCCTCACAGTCCGACCAACCAAAACATTTTGCTGCAAGTGCTTACAAACGCGGTATTGCCTGAACTTGTAAAGAAAAATATCATTCGATACAATTTCTGCCCATGATTTTACAAATATGATAATCATTTTATAAAAAATGAGTGAAATGACCAATAACAGTGAAAAACTTGCTATTAATTGTGTGCTGTACCCTTTTAAACATTTTAAGTTTTTAATTTATTACCACTACATGAGTTTACTGCAGAACAGAATAAATGTTTATAATATATATCCAGCAGAATATGATGATTAATTTCTGAGAAATATGCGCATATCTTCACGAGAGTACATTCAATACTTTGCGCTCCACGTTTCTATTCTGCAGTAATCTCATGACCATCCTGTATTTATAATCATTTAGTAAACCCTTTCTAATACATTTTATTTACCCATTTTTTATATAGAGGCTAAAAAGCAGAGGAAGAAGAAGTCACTAACAGGTGAATAAAATTAATGATATTTTTAATCACTGTGTTTCATAAATGTCTGATATGACAAAGACTTATGTGTGTTTAAGCATTTTGAAAGGTTAGTTATTTTCCAATTTATTTATTCCTCTTTGGTTACTAAATATCATTTTTCTCCTTTACATACTTCTTTATTTTAACTATTATTCCAGTAATACTTATTTTATTTCAAATAATAATTCATACATAATTACCATCAATATTTACATCAATTTTTTTTAAACTAAAAAAGCAGTCTTGAACAGCAATTTTTTTTCTTTAATAAATGACATGAATTTAAAAACAATCAAGAAAAAATTAATCTAAAAACACTTTCAAACTAGTCTATTTTTTATTTTTTTAATTATGATTAGTTTTAATTTGTGACACTGTCACTGTCACAAAATTTTGCCTGCGTGGCAAGTAAGTCGTACTTGAGACCTCGAGACTGCGAGAAAGATCTCTCCGCTTTATGGAGAACCTCGGCTACAGAACGCGTTACGATATTATATAGGTGAGACGTGAGAATCTATAAATTCTTCAGCGCGCAGTGACTGAGATATTCAATTGCTGCGTCAGGAACATATTTATTTTTAAGCCATTACAAAAACACCTGATAACTTTTTAATGAATATTGAACTTTTCTGAAAAAATGTCAAATTTTTCCCGTATCCTGAATTCTTGAATAAATTTCGTAATAATTCTTGAACAAAAATTTTCCGTGTACATATAAAATATAGAAACTTTGAGTTTTATTTTTGAGACTTACAGATGGTCTAGTTTATTTAAATATGTCTTATTTTTAAGATAAATATCTAAGGAATAATCAAGGGAAGTTTAAAAAGAATCTGACAAAAATGAATCGATGTGACAAATACCTTGAATTAAAGATTTATTATAGTATTACAATAATTATTATTAAAGAAAAATCACTTCATTTTAATAACCCAAAAAACACAAAAACCACATTTACAAAGTGGAACAAAATAAATGATGTCGCAAAAAATAAAAAACCCAATTTAGTACCAATTTGAATTAAGTACCAAACATTCGTAAAACAGTCAAGAACGTACCTAATTAGAAATAGAAACAAGAACATGCTTATTTTGGAAGAGACAAGAGAGCCTGTTTTTGCTTCCAATTTTGATCAGTTATGTTCTTGCTTTATTTTCCGAATAGGTGCGATACTGCTCTAACCCGACGATATGTCTAATAAGTGTTGGACTTAACCCCTTAGCAGTGTAGTCAAAATAAAGTTTTCGTGACACAAATGTGCTAAATTTTTTTTATTTCTTTTAATACCTGATATCATTATCTTTTATGTTTTTGGGGTAGCTGAATCCGAATCTTTGGTCAGAATTAAAAAATTCAAATTGTCGGCTACAAAATGGCGATCGAAAAATTCCAAAGTTTACGGATTTTAAATTTTTTCGTTCGCCATTTTGGAGCCGACAATTTGAATTTTTTCATTCTGACCAAAGATTCGGATTCAGGGACCCCAAAAACTTTAGAATATTCATTGATATTCATATTTCATTTATTACAGAGATTTTCCTTTTAGATGCCGCTATAGCGGTCATACACATTGGTGGCACGAATTATTTTTGCCTCTATAGACGTCATACACTGTGAAGGGGTTAATAGGCGCTTGTACTTTTCCCCGTTTCTGAGTATATTCAGAAACTTCCAAAGTGTTGATTGGTTATGCTCATAGAGAATTTCCAAAAGTTTTAAGTTTTGTAAGTTTCATATGAGCATAGCCAATCAAAACTCTAGACGTTACTGAAAATACTGAGGAACGGAGACGTGTACAAGCGCCTTTATCTTTTTTATGTGATGTAAGTATCAGATTGAATAAATCTGTGATATAGTTGACAGTTCAGGTCTAAGCACAACTGCTTCGTGTACGTCGTTCGCGAATGCAAAGCATGAGTTAGAAAAGGACAGAGATGTATTTGAGTCCTTTTCTATCTCATGAATCTCGTTCGCGAACGACTTTCACGAGCCTATTGTGCGTTGGACTTTAAGCTATATCAATCCTGTTAATATATGCGCACATATAAGATTCGCTCCAATATACAACAGTTCTAGAATTCTTGGCGTCCGTTAATACAAAAATTTGAATGCCCCTTAACTTTCTAAAATCTTTATAATAAATTATACAAAAATTATCCCGAAACATATTCTTTTAACTAAATTATGTCATTAATCTTCAATAAGCAAAATCAGTACTAGAAACTAAAAGATTTAAAGTTTAAAAGCCATTGTAGAAATTGCCAAACTTGGTCCCATGTGGGATAAAACGTCTTCACCGATCGAGACGATTTTAATTAATTTGACTTGTGACCCTGATCAGGTAAAACGTTTGTTAAACTTTGTTAAAATATCGAAAATGTAAAATATCTCAAAAAAGCCTATCTGTCTGAAAATGTGGATTAAAATAAGTTAACTTGATACATTGTACATTGATATTTCTTACATTTATATAACTAGTCTGACTTAGAGCTGTGCAGAGTTCGAGTCGAATCGAGTTTTTGTTCGTTTTGAGGCGCCAAAATGTCGAATGTCGAATGTCGAAAATCCGACTATTGAATCACCTAGTTCGAATGTCAGTTTTTCGACAATCATGTTAAATTTTCGACATTTGAACAAGCTGAAAATATTCGAACTGTTCTGTTCGAATTATTTTGCACATTTCTAGTCAGACTCAATTGTGAACACTTATTTTTGACAAACACTATAATTTTCTGATATAAGGCTATTCAAGTTGGGTGGGGGAAAATTCAAGATGGATGCTAACTGGTGCACAAACATTGTATAGAAAGTGTATGGGATAGAGTCTAATTTTTTAAATATCTCGCTTAAACGAAATTTTTAACCATAAGTTTATTAGGATTTTATGTTTTATTTTTAAAGAGCTATTTTTTGCAATAATAAAATCAATAAAAAAATAAAATCGATTTTTATTATTGCAAAAAATAGTTCTTTAAAAATGAAACATAAAATCCTAATAAACTTATGGTTAAAAATTTCGTTTAAGCGAGATATTTAAAAAATTAGACTCTATCCCATACACTTTCTATACAATGTTGGTGCATCAGTTAGCATCCATATTGAATTTCCCCCCACCGAACTTGAATAGCCTTATTGGTAATGCAAAATTTTAAGGTTGTCAGAAACAAATTCTCCTGAACTTTATATTATTCGTAAAGTGTACACAAAGAAAAAAGAATAATCAAATTTATCATGATGAGTGTTAAACTTGAAAAAGTTGACACTCTTCTGTTTCGAACTTAACCTGAGGAGTAGTAACCCGTCAACGGTCGAATCGTGAGAAAAAGTCTCACGCAACACTACTCAACCGGTAGGGCGCTCTTGGAGTGCGAGTGAGACACTTAAAAAAAGCGCGACTGCTGACGAGTTAAATTTACATTCTTTATAGTAAGTTTAATTAAACTTTTTTCTCCGTGCCGTGTAGAAAATGTTCAATACAGTTTAGGGGCCATACTTAGGGAGCGTTCAGACCTTCTCATGCAAAACTTATGCATGCAGGTTGCCATAGTAGCGTTCAAGAGTGAGAGAGATAGAATAATATTAGAGCTGTGCAAAATAATTCGAACCGAACTGTTCGAATTTTTTCGCCTAGTTCGAATGTCGAAAATTCGACATTCGAGTTAGCTTAGTTCGAATGTCGGTTTTTCGACATTCGAACTAGCCCAGTTCGGATGTCGAATATTTGACATTCGAACTCGGTTCGGTTCGAATTTTGCACAGCTCTAAATAATATCCTATCTCTCTCACTCTTGAACGCTACCATGGCAACCTGCATGCATAAGTTTTGCATGAGATCGTGTGGCTGTACCCTTAATTTACGTAACGCCTCAGGGGGTAGGGGAGGGGTCAAGATATTTGTTGCACTGAGCAAAAAAGTGGCGCTAATGTATGTAAAAGTTTGTTACATGGGGGAGGGGGGGTCTAAAATTGCAAAAAAAGCGTTACGTAATTTAAGTATGGCCACTTATATGACGGTACAATCCCACACAGAGGAAAAAAGTATTGAATAAAGTCTACAAACGAGCTAATTTTAAGATGTAACAAAAAGTAGTCATCCTAGACTTAAAATTAGTTTGTAAAATGAGTCTTAAAAAAAGGCGGTACTCAGGCTTGAATGAAGTCGCTATGTAGTCTTAAAAATAGCCGATAGCCAAAAAGTGGACTTAAAAGTAGTTTCCTTTTAAACTTCAATTTACTCTGCAAGTCAAAATAATGACTAAAATAAAGCTTTCTTAAATACTTAAAAGTAGTAAATAATACAGTTCAAATTTATTTTTCTATTGCATATAAAATTATAGTTATTAACTATATTTTCTAAATGAAAAGTGTTTAGAAGATATGCATAATAATTCTGGTCAGAGTTTTACACATGAAGAAAACCTGGTTAATTTGACTACTTTTTAACTATTTTTATTGCAGTTTTAGGAGATGCTAGTAACAGATTGTATAATAGAAGCATCTGTAAGAAAAGTTATGTACATTAACTATTTAAAATAATAAACTGAAATTATTTATTTTTTATTATTGAAGTCCAATTTTTCATATACTTCCATGATGACATTTGTTAACATGTACCTTATAAGTAATCATTATTTAATAATAGACAATAAATCGGTTAATTGAATCAAATTCATTTCAGTTCAGTGTAACTATGCTTGCACTTCATATAATAAAAACTTATTTATTTATTCGGTACACAAAAATATCAAAATCTACAGGTGATTAACTATAGACGAACAAAACACGTACACTCAAGGCAACGCCATGACAACTAATGACACGTCACCTGATCATGCCCAAGCGCGTCTCCCCTTCCAGAGGACTATAGACGCTAGGCCTAGGGGACTAAAAACTAGTCATGATGGGTTTGCTGCAAATTTGCCAGGCAAGTTTTCAAATTTGGCTTTGATAACTTGCCGCAAATTTGCAGAAAATTATTG